GGGGCCCAAAAAAAAAAAAAACCCCCAAAAAAAAGGGGGGAAAAAAAAAAAAAAGGGTCAAAAAAAAACCCAAAAAAGGGGGGGGGAAAAAAAAAAAATTTTTTAAAACCCCCCCCGGGGTCCCCCCCCCCAAAAAAAATTTTTTTAAATTTTTTTCCCCAAATTTTTTTTTTTTTCCCCTTTTTAAAATTTTTAATTTTTTTTTTTAATTAACCCCAAATTCCCCCCCAAAAAATTTTTTTAAACCCCCCCCTTTTTTTTTAAATTTTCCCCCTTTTTTGGTTAAATTTTTTTTTTTCCCCCCCAAAAAAAAAACCCCCAAAAGGGGTTTTTTTAAAAAAAACCCCCCCCCCCGGGGGCCCAAAAAAATTTTTTTATTTTTTTTCCTTTTTTTTAAAAGGGGGCCCCCCCCAAAAAAAAACCCCCAAAAAACCCCCCTTTCCCCCCCCAAATTTTTTGGGAAAACCCCCCCAAAAACACCAGTGAACGTAGGGCAAACATTGCCCACAACAATACCAGTGAACGTAGGGCAAAATTGCCCACAACAATCACCAGTGAACGTAGGGCAAACATTTCCACAACAATCACCAGTGAACGTAGGGCAAACATTGCCCACAACAACCCACCAGTGAACGTAGGGCAAACATTGCCCACATACAATCACCAGTGAACGTAGGGCAAGTATTGCCCACAACAATCCCCAGTGAACGTAGGCAAACATTGTCCACAACAATCACCAGTGAACGTAGGGAAAAACATTGCCCACAACAATCACAGTGAACGTAGGGCAAACATTGCCACAACAATCACCAGTGAACGTAGGGCAAACATTGCCCACAACAATCACCAGTGAACGTAGGCAAACATTGCCCACAACAATCACCAGTGAACGTAGGGCAAACATTGCCCACAACAATCACCAGTGAACGTAGGGCAAACATTGCCCACAACAATCACCAGTGAACGTAGGGCAAACATTGCCCACAACAATCACCAGTGAACGTAGGGCAAACATTGCCCACAACAATCACCAGTGAACGTAGGGCAAACATTGCCCACAACAGTTGTCGCTCGCACAAACACAACCACTATTATAATGTTCTGACAAACCTCTGTCTTTGTCTGGGTCAAGTTTCTCTTCTCTAAGTGTTCACAGTGGTTACTATATTGCTGCCAGACACAACTTCAAGTTCACACCACTTAAGTGCCCTGCTAAGGGGTACCTTTAAGTGACTGCCTGACCTTTTCTCTTTTTGGAAATATACTCTCCAAGTTTTCGTCAATAACTTCTGAATCCCTTATCCGATCGGCTTCAAACTCTCAACACTGGGTGCTGTTACTGTCATGTTCACTTCACTTTCGCATTACGTACACTAATTTCATAATTTTATATATATTTTTGCTTATTTTATTAACACATCGGCCGTTCCCCACCAAGGCAGGGTGGCCCGAAAAAAAAAAACTTTCACCATTCACTCTATCACTGTCTTGCCAGAGGCGCGATTACACTACAGTTATAAAACTGCAACATTAACACTCCTCCTTCAGAGTGCAGGCACTGTATTTTCCATATCCAGGACTCAAGTCCGGCCTGCCGGTTTCCCTGAATCCCTTCATAAATGTTACCGTGCTAACACTCCAACAGCACATCAAATCCTAAAAGCCATTTGTCTCCATTCGCTCCTAACACGCTCACGCTGATTGCTGGAAGTCCAAGCCCTTCGCACACCAAACCTCCCTTACCCTCCTCCCTTCAACCTTTCCTAGGCCGACCTCTACCCCTCCTTCCCTCCACTACAGATTTATACACTCTCGAAGTCATTCTCTTTTGTTCCTTCCTCTCTACACTACCTCAACAACCCTTCCTCAGGCCCCTGGATAATAGTTTGGGTAATCCTGCACCACCTCCTAATTTCCAAACTACGAATTCAATCCATTATATTCACACTGCACATTACCCTCAGACATGACATCTCCAGTGCCTCCAGCCTTCGCCTTGTTGCAACATTCACCACCCATGCTTCACACCTATATAAGAGCGTTGGTATAACTATACTCTCATACATTCCCCTCTTTGCTTCTATGGACAAAGTTCTTTGTCTCCACAGACTCCTCAGTGCACCACTCACCTTTTTCCCCTCGTCAATTCTATGATTCACCTCATCCTTCATAGACCCATCTGCTGATACATCCACTCCTAAATATCTGAATACATTCACCTCCTCCATACTCTCTCCCTCCAATCTGATATCCAATCTTTCGTTACCTAACTTTTTTATGCTCATCACCTTACTCTTTCCTACATTCACTTTTAATTTTCTTCTTTTACATACCCTATCAAACTCATCAACCAACCTCTGCAACTTCTCTTCAGAATCTCCAAAAAGCACAGTATCATCAGCAAAAAGCAGATGTGTGACAACTCCCATTTTGTGTTAGATTCTTTATCTTTTAACCCCACACCTCTTGTTAACACCCGAACATTCACTTGTCTTACAACCCCATCTATAAATATATTGAACAACCACGGTGACATCGCACATCCTTTTCTAAGGCCTACTTTTACTGCGAAATAATCTCCCACTCTCTCCTACATACTCTAACCTGAGCCTCACTATCCTCGTAAAACCTCTTCACTGCTTTCAGTAACCTACCTCTATTCCATACATTTACAGCAACTGCCACACCTGCTTCCCTATCCACTCTGTCATATGCCTTTTCCAAATCCATATATGCCACAAAAAACTCTTTACCCTTATCTAAATACTATTCACCTATATGTTTCACTGTAAACACTGGTCTACACACCCCCTACCCTTCCTAAAGCCTCCTTGTTCATCTGGTATCCTACTCTCCGTCTTACTATTAATTCTTTCAATAATAACTCTACCATACACTTTACCAGATATACTCGACAGACTTATTCCCCTATAATTTTTGCACTCTTTTGTCCCTTTTGCCTTTACACAGGAACTATGCATGCTTCTCTGTGAATCCCTAGTTACCTTACCCTCTTCCATACATTTATTAAATAAAAGCACCAACCATTCCAAAACTATATCCCCACCTGCCTTTAACATCAATCTCAGCTGCCTTATCCTCTTTCATTCTACCCACTACTTCACCAACTTCCCCCACACTCACAACTGCTCTTCCTCACTCCTACAAGATGTTATTCCTCTTCGACTATAAAAAAAAATCACAGCTTGCCCATCTTCATCAACATTTAACAATTCCTCAAAATATTCCCCCCCCCCATCTTCCCGATACCTCTAACTCTACATTTAATAACTTTCCTCTCCTATTTTTAAGTATCAAATCCATTTGTTCCCTAGACTTCAACTTATTAATCTCACTCCAAAACTTTCTTATTTTCAACAAAATTTGTCGATAACATCTCATCCACTCTCTCATTTGCTCTTTTTATTTACATTGCTTCACCACTCTCTTAACCTCTCCTTTTCTCTCTCTCTGTATAGAGTATATAATATATATATATATATATATATATAAATATATATATATATATTATATATATAATATATATATATATGTCGTGCCGAATAGGCACAACTTGCGATCTTGGCTTAAATAGCAACGTTCATCTTGCCATATAGGACAAGCGAAAATTTGGATATTCAATAATTTCGCCAAAATCATTCTGAACTAACGAAAAAAATATATTTCACTGTGTTTGTTTAGTATTAAATTACTGTAAACAAATCTAAAATATATTTAGTTGGGTTAGGCTAAAATAAATTGTTCTTGTTATAATAAGGTTAGGTAAGTTTTCTAAGATTCTTTTGGTGCAAAATTAAAATTTTTTACATTAACATTAATGAAAAAAATATATCTTTAAACGTACAAGAGAAAATTTTTAGAAAGGTTCTTGCTAATTGACCAGTTTTACATATTCGCACGACATATATATTATATACATATATATATATATATATATATAATATATATATATATATATATATATATATATATATATATATATATATATAGGTGGGTGGAGTGGGAGAGTATGAGAGGTAGAGATCAGCTTTAACACAGAAGGTATTGTTGTTCGTCTCTCGTCTCTTCCCACAGCTATTGTGCTCTCTGTACTCTTGTTTTCTCACACGGATGTACTCACCCTAAGTATTCCCACGGATACCTGGAGTATACCTGGAGAGGGTTTCGGGGGTCAACGCCCCCGCGGCCAGGTCTGAGACCAGGCCTCGTGGTGGATCAGGGTTTGATCAACCAGGCTGTTACTGCTGACCACACGCAAACTGACGTACGAACCACAGCCCAGCTGGCCATGTACTGACTTTAGGTGCCTGTCCAGGGGTCTATTGGTAATCTCTATGTATGCTGGGACGTAGTTGAACAGTCTTGGGCCCTTGACACTTATCGTGTTGTCTCTTAGTGTACTTCTGGCGCCCCTGCTTTTCATCGAGGGAATTTGCATGCTTCCATAGGGAGTGATTTTCGTGTATATCATCATGTACCTCTCTCGCCTGTGTTCCAGGGAATACAAATCAAGGGACTTTAACCATTCCCAGTAATTTAGGTGCTTTATCGTACTTAGGTGTGCCGGATGTACCCGTTCTAACTACTCACACGGATGTACTCGTCCTAAGTACTCACACGGATGTACTCGTCCTAGGTACCCACACGGATGCACTCGTCCTAAGTACTCACACGGATGTACTCGCCCTAAGTACTCACACGGATGCACTCGTCCTAAGTACTCACACGGATGTACTCGTCCTAAGTACTCACACGGATGCACTCGTCCTAAGTACTCGCACGGATGCACTCGTCCTAAGTACTCACGCGGATGCACTCGTCCTAAGTACTCACGCGGATGCACTCGTCCTAAGTACTCACACGGATGCACTCGTCCTAAGTACTCACACGGATGCACTCGTCCTAAGTACTCACACGGATGCACTCGTCCTAAGTACTCACACGGATGCACTCGTCCTAAGTACTCACAACGGATGCACTCGTCCTAAGTACTCACACGGATGCACTCGTCCTAAGTACTCACACGGATGCACTCGTCCTAAGTACTCACACGGATGCACTCGTCCTAAGTACTCACACGGATGCACTCGTCCTAAGTACTCACACGGATGCACTCGTCCTAAGTACTCACACGGATGCACTCGTCCTAAGTACTCACACGGATGCACTCGTCCTAAGTACTCACACGGATGCACTCGTCCTAAGTACTCACACGGATGCACTCGCCCTAAGTACTCACACGGATGCACTCGTCCTAAGTACTCACACGGATGCACTCGTCCTAAGTACTCACACGGATGCACTCGTCCTAAGTACTCACACGGATGCACTCGTCCTAAGTACTCACACGGATGCACTCGTCCTAAGTACTCACACGGATGCACTCGTCCTAAGTACTCACACGGATGCACTCGTCCTAAGTACTCACACGGATGCACTCGTCCTAAGTACTCACACGGATGCACTCGTCCTAAGTACTCACACGGATGCACTCGTCCTAAGTACTCACACGGATGCACTCGTCCTAAGTACTCACACGGATGCACTCGTCCTAAGTACTCACACGGATGCACTCGTCCCAAGTACTCACACGGATGTACTCGTCCCAAGTACTCACACGGATGTACTCGTCCTAAGTACTCACACGGATGTACTCGTCCTAAGTACTCACACGGATGTACTCGTCCTAAGTACTCACACGGATGCACTCGTCCTAAGTACTCACACGGATGTACTCGTCCTAAGTACTCACACGGATGCACTCGTCCTAAGTTCTCACACGGATGTACTCGTCCTAAGTACTCACACGTATGTACTCGTCCTAAGTACTCACACGTATGTACTCGTCCTAAGTACTCACACGGATGCACTCGTCCTAAGTACTCCACACGGATGACTCGTCCTAAGTACTCACACGATGTACTCGTCCTAAGTACTCACACGGATGTACTCGTCCTAAGTACTCACACGGATGTACTCGTCCTAAGTACTCACACGGATGTACTCGTCCTAAGTACTCACACGGATGTACTCGTCCTAAGTACTCACACGGATGCACTCGTCCTAAGTACTCACACGGATGTACTCGTCCCAAGTACTCGACACGGATGCACTTCCTCATAATACTACCGATAATCTCCCTTTAATACTAAGAATATATTCATAAGTATATAATTAATCGTCCTAAGACATCACAACGGATGTAACTCGCCAATAACAGTGTACTGCGGTCGAGGCCTAGAGTTCTCAACACTTGTAACATGTCTAGTAGGTCCGTACTACTCTCCACGCTATCACTGAGCGTGCCTCGCCTACACGCAACACTGAGGTTGCACTCGCCTACGGAATACTGAGTCGTGCCTCGCCTAGCACGGTCAACACTGAGGATCTGCCTAGTAACTCCACGGATCACTGCGGGGCGGCCTGTCTGCCACGGTGCAACTACGTGAGGCCGTGCCACGCCTGCACACGCTAACACTGAGCTCGATGCCTCGCCTGCCACGGCAACACTGAGGTCCGTCCTCCCTGACCACGGCAACACTGAGGTCGTGCCTCGCCTGCCATCGGCAACACGAGGTCGTGCCTCGCCTGCCACGGCAACCCTGAGTCGTGCCTCGGCCTGCCCGGCTAACACTGAGGTCGTGCTCGCCTGCACGGCAACACTTGAGGTCGTGCCTCGCCTGCCACGGCAACACTGAGTTCGTTGCCTCGCCTGCACTGGCAACACTGAGGTCGTGCCTCGCCTGCCACGGCAACACGGAGGTCGTTGCTCGCCTGCCACGCAACACTGAGGTCGTGCCTCGCCTGCCACGGCAACACTGAGATCGTGCCTCGCCTACTGCAACACTGAGTGTCGTGCCTGCTCCACGGCAACATGAGGTCGTGCCTAGCTGCCACTGCAACACGAGGTCGTGCCTCGCCATGCCACGGCAACACTGAGGTCGTGCCTCGCCTGCCACGGCAACACTGAGGTCGTGCCTCGCCTGCCACGGCAACACTGAGGTCGTGCCTCGCCTGCCACGGCAACACTGAGGTCGTGCCTCGCCTGCCACGGCAACACTGAGGTCGTGCCTCGCCTGCCACGGCAACACTGAGGTCGTGCCTCGCCTGCCACGGCAACACTGAGGTCGTGCCTCGCCTGCCACGGCAACACTGAGGTCGTGCCTCGCCTGCCACGGCAACACTGAGGTCGTGCCTCGCCTGCCACGGCAACACTGAGGTCGTGCCTCGCCTGCCACGGCAACACTGAGGTCGTGCCTCGCCTGCCACGGCAACACTGAGGTCGTGCCTCGCCTGCCACGGCAACACTGAGGTCGTGCCTCGCCAACACTGAGGTCGTGCCTCGCCAACACTGAGGTCGTGCCTCGCCTGCCACGCCAACACTGAGGTCGTGCCTCGCCTACCACGGCAACACTGAGGTCGTGCCTCGCCTGCCACGGCAACACTGAGGTCGTGCCTCGCCTGCCACGGCAACACTGACCTCACTGACGGTGGGATCTTGATCACGGGCGGTGGAGCTGCTACTACCCCCCCCCCCCACAGTACCTTGGATCAAGGCTCAGTTTCCACCCACGCTCCAATGGCGCTGTAGGACCCATACGGCCTTAGCGCTCCCTTATGTATGTTAGCCTAATGATAATTGGGATAATACTACTACTAATAATAATGGTAGAAAATAATGGTAGTAATATAACATTAATGTGGTATGAAGATAATGGGAGTAATGGTGCTGACGCGGGGAGGTGGAGGGGGAAGGGGAGGGGAAGGAGAAGGGGTTGTGGGGATGGGGAGGGGGGTAATGGGGAAGGGGAGAGGAGCTAGAGATCAATATCTACAAAGCTCTGAGACAGTGTCTCTATCTGACACAGTGATACACTCAGGGGGGACACAGGGAAGTCAGGGGACACACAGGTGGAAGTCAGGGGGACACACAGGTGGTAAGTCAGGGGGGACACACAGGTGGTAAGTCAGGGGGACACACAGGTGGTAAGTCAGGGGGGACACACAGGTGGTAAGTCAGGGGGGACACACAGGTGGTAAGTCAGGGGGGGACACACAGGTGGTAAGTCAGGGGTGGGACACACAGGTGGTAAGTCAGGGGGGGGACACACAGGTGGAAGTCAGGGTGGGACACACAGGTGGAAAGTCAGGGGTGGGACACACAGGTGGAAAGTCAGGGGTGGGACACACAGGTGGAAAGTCAGGGGTGGGACACACAGGTGGAAAGTCAGGGGTGGGACACACAGGTGGAAAGTCAGGGGTGGGACACACAAGGTGGAAGGTCAGGGGGGACACACAGGTGGTAAGTCAGAGGGGACACACAGGTGGAAAGTCAGGGTGGACACACAGGTGGAAAGTCAGGGGGACACAAGGTGGACAATCAGGGGGACACAGGTGGAAGTCAGGGGGACACACAGGTGCTAAGTCAGGGATGGACACAGGTGGAAAGTCAGTGGGGACACACAGGTGGTAAGTCAGGGGGAACACAGGTGGAAAGTCAGTGGGGGGACACACAGGTGGTAAGTCAGTGGGGACACACAGGTGGTAAGTCAGGGGGACACACAGGTGGTAAGTCAGGGGGACACACAGGTGGTAAGTCAGGGGGGACACACAAGTGGTAAAGTCAGGGGGACACACAGGTGGTAAGTCAGGGGGACACACAGGTGGTAAGTCAGGGGGACACACAGGTGGTAAGTCAGGGGGACACACAGGTGGAAAGTCAGGGGGACACACAGGTGGTAAGTCAGGGGGGACACACAGGTGGAAAGTCAGGGGGGACACACAGGTGGAAAGTCAGGGGGGACACACAGGTGGAAGTCAGGGGGGACACACAGGTGGAAAGTCAGGGGGGACACACAGGTGGAAAGTCAGGGGGGACACACAGGTGGAAAGTCAGGGGGGACACACAGGTGGAAAGTCAGGGGGGACACACAGGTGGAAAGTCAGGGGGACACACAGGTGGAAAGTCAGGGGGGACACACAGGTGGAAAGTCAGGGGGACACACAGTGGAAAGTCAGGGGGGACACATGGAAAGTCAGGGGGACACACAGTGGAAAGTCAGGGGGGAACACAGTGGAAAGTCAGGGGGGACACACAGGTGGAAAGTCAGGGGGGACGACACAGGTGGAAAGTCAGGGGGGACACACAGGTGGAAAGTCAGGGGGGACACACAGGTGGAAAGTCAGGGGGACACACAGGTGGAAAGTCAGGGGGACACACAGGTGGAAAGTCAGGGGGACACACAGGTGGAAAGTCAGGGGGAACACAGGTGGAAAGTCAGGGGGACACACAGGTGGAAAGTCAGGGGGGACACACAGGTGGAAAGTCAGGGGGGACACACAGGTGGAAAGTCAGGGGGGACACACAGGTGGAAAGTCAGGGGGGACACACAGGTGGAAAGTCAGGGGGGACACACAGGTGGAAAGTCAGGGGGACACACAGTGGAAAGTCAGGGGGACACACAGTGGAAAGTCAGGGGGGAACACAGGTGGAAAGTCAGGGGGACACACGGGTGGAAAGTCAGGGGGGACACACAGGTGGAAAGTCAGGGGGGACACACAGGTGGAAAGTCAGGGGGACACACAGGTGGAAAGTCAGGGGGGACACACAGGTGGAAAGTCAGGGGGGACACACAGGTGGAAAGTCAGGGGGACACACAGGTGGAAAGTCAGGGGGGACACACAGGTGAAAGTCAGGGGGACACACAGGTGGAAAGTCAGGGGGGACACACAGGTGGAAAGTCAGGGGGGACACACAGGTGGAAAGTCAGGGGGGACACACAGGTGGAAAGTCAGGGGGGACACACAGGTGGAAAGTCAGGGGGGACACACAGGTGGAAATAGGGGGAAAGTCAGGGGGACACACGGTGGAAGTCAGGGGGGACACACAGGTGGAAAGTCAGGGGGACACACAGGTGGAAAGTCAGGGGGGACACACAGGTGGAAAGTCAGGGGGGACACACAGGTGGAAAGTCAGGGGGGACACACAGGTGGAAAGTCAGGGGGACACACAGGTGGAAAGTCAGGGGGGACACACAGGTGGAAAGTCAGGGGGGACACACAGGTGGAAAGTCAGGGGGGACACACAGGTGGAAAGTCAGGGGGACACACAGGTGGAAAGTCAGGGGGGACACACAGGTGGAAAGTCAGGGGGCGCATACAGGTGGAGGTCAATACACAGCTTCAAGAGTAGGTATGGCACAGTGCAAGAGGAAACCAAAAAAAATTAATACCGGTGCCAGCATCTGAAGAGGTGAGAGAGAGAGAGAGAGAGCGGCTACTCAACCCCCACAAACACAAATCAGTAGCTACACACATTTACAATATACACACAATGTTTTTGTGGAATTAAACGACCAAAGTAAAACGAAAAAATATAAAATTAAAAGAAACGAAAGGATATTATATCAAGATCTGGCAACCTCAGGCCAGATTAGACCAGTAAAGACCTATAGGAAATTTGATGTGACTCACTATAGTAACAAACTGACGACACACACAGGGATGTTGGGAAGTATTTCTTCAGTAGTAGTCTGAAAGTGGAATAATCTGTCAAGTCATGTAATGGAGGCAGAATTCATACATAGCTTTAAGAAGAGGTATGATAAGGCTCATGGAGCAGGGAGAGAAGTGGACCTAGTAGCAACCAGTGAAAAATCGGGGCCAGAAGCTTTGATTCGACCCCCGCAACCACAAATTGGTAAGAACAAGTAGGTAAGTACACACAAAACAGGCCAAAGTGCCTTTGACAACTAGTAACAACAACAACAACTACTACTACTACTACTACTACACGAAGCCTCACCATAAGTGTATAACGAACGTACAAACACATTCTTCAGTGCTCACGAGACGATCCTTACCAATAATCCTGCCAGAGTACAAAACTTTAAACAGGCTTCCACTTCCTACTGGCGTGACAAGACGAC